TATATATATATATATATATATATATATATATATATATATATATATATATATATATATATATATATATATATATATATATATATATATATATATATATATAGTCCGGATTTGTATTTGAGTGAGTCTCAACTTTTGGACTGATCGATGTCATACTCATAAATTTAATAGACTTACATGATCACTTTGAAGTTAAAAGTTACAATTAAAAAAATTAGAGTTATATTCTTCAAACATGTTTTTTTTTTTTTTTGCAAATTCTTAAAAATGAATTTGAGTAACAACAAAAAAAAAGAATTTGAGTATATGGAGATGGGTGAAATAATGCCAAACCGGGGAGGTATATCCCATTGGGTTTGTGGCCAAGGGCAAAACTGTTATCCGAATGGGACGTTATTCAACCAATAGTAGTTGGAGGCACATGTGATGAGTGGAGAGTAGGATGATATAGTAGGAGAAACCATTCTTTCAAGTGACTAAAATGCACACATTATTTTGCACGTTGGTTGCCCGGTTCTTATCGTGGGCCTTCACCGCCCCTTTGGTTAGTTTACCCAATATCCTCTAATTCTTCATTTGCTTCTCATACAATAGGTTGCTTTTAATTTTACTAGATTCGTACCCGTGCGTTGCACGGCAAGTAATTTATTTTAAAATATATAGTATGAGAGTATAATAAAATAAAATAAATGTCTATATAAAAAAGTTAGATTTAGATTGAAATATATAACAAAATTATTCATGTTGATTTCATGGAGTCTACAAACAATACTTAAAATAAAAGATTATATAATTAGAATTTTTTAAAAAGGAAAGAGATTTTGTGAGCTTGGATCATTACATTAAAATATTGAAGTGTATATCATAATAGAAAGTAAAGTAAATATCTTAGAAAAATACCCTTAGTAATCTTAATAGATGTCCATTAAAAATATCTTGTCTCTTTTTTACTTGACGAATATGATAAAATGTTGCAAAATAAAATTAAAATACTCTCCTAGATGTAAAAAATCTCACTCATCTTATTTATTTTCCAAAAACAAATAATGCACATATTGACGCCATTTAAACATACATATCATTGAGAAACAAAACTATGCTAAGAGGTTTCAATACTCAATTCAATGACCACCAAATTTAGCTACTATTTCAAATATAATGTGATATTTACACTCTCTATCATTCGAGAAATATGAAAGAAAAAGAAAAAATGAGATGAAAATCAACTTTAAAGGTTTGGTTAGAAATGAAAAACAAAAAATGAAGGCAAAAATATAGGTCAAATATTAAAGGTTTGTTATTAACTTTAAAGGTTTGTTTCTTCTGATCAATGTATTTTTAAATTTTTATTACATTATAGATCAAATATTAAAAATAATTGTCTGAAGAAAAAGTCAAAACTAAAAAAATACTTAAGGACGACGGTTGATCACCAATCACCATAAAACAAAACATGGTGATAATTAGAATATAATCTTGGGCTTAGAGCATGTACAATGGTGAAGCAAAAATGGAATGTCACACGGTGATGTGGAAAATTTGAACCAATAAAAAACATCTTAGTCAGCGTGTGGTAAGTGAGCGAAGTGGCATGCTATGCAGTGGCAAGTCATTGTTTTTTACACATTTTAATCTTTTTTATATATAATAATTATTAAAAAATATTTTATTTATCTTTTTATACAAAAATAGATATACATACTCTATTAAAAAGCAAAGCTGTTTTCTTATACAAAATAAAAAATTAAAAAATTAAAAAAGAAAAACAAAAAGAAAAAAATTTGCCTCGCAGGTTACTCGCAAGCTAAGTAAAAATGGGTTGCCATGCCACGATTTTGGAAGAGAAAGCTGAGTTGGCAGGGAGAGGCACTCACACCCCTCGCCACTCTCCATGCTCTTAACTTGGACAACTTTTTGCATGCCAAGTAATTAAAATGCCACTAACTTCGAGTATTTATTTTTGTCAAAAAACTCACTTCTACCAATCCCTACCAATCAAATTTGGTTAACATCTAGAGGAGTACGTTCAAAAACAGGCACTAAGCTATTTTTATATTTAATAACATGCAACTTTGCTTATAATACTCCTTATCGTTTAATTTTTTTCATAGGGTCTCCTCTCCTCTTTCAATATTTATGTACGGCGTAATATTATTTTAATTGTTCATTACTTTTTTATGTTGTTAATTTTTTTTCAAAGATGCTTTCATTTGGCATTTGTCAATCAAAGTATAATATTTTTATCACTTCTCATTATCTTTAATCTTGAGGAAACTTGTGAAAAATTAAAGAATTCAATAATGACAATGTAGAGGATGAGTTACATATGGGATAAATAAAAATAGTTTAGTGTATTTTAAAACTCTTGTTGGTTTTAATTAATATTAATCCGCTCTCATCAATAAAAATTAGGAGTTATGTTTTTAATTTCTAAATGCTAAAATTAAACAATGAACTTTTTAAGTTGAATATAAAAGCAAAATATATGAAATTTTAATATTAAGTTATGATATATTTCTTATTATATTTTTTCTAATAATAAAGTAATTTCTTTTACTTATTTGAGTACTAATAATTTCAAACACTTCTGAAAAGAAGGATACGGAGTATAAATTAAAATTCACTTCTTTTTCATCATTTTAAGTTGACATTAGAAAAAATCGAAGTCTCAGCCTCCGAACCCCCACCTTACCCATTATTAAAAGGGCGCCCTCAGTCAGATTATTCTTGGATCCGCCACTGCAAGTGAGATACAAAGGTTTGACCTTGTACTCATATGGAGTTTTTCTAATAGAAAGGGGCATTAATTTCAACTTATATAGAGTAATAAAAATTTAAAACGTTTTATATGCCTAATTTAAAAAATTGGCAATAATGTTATCTTATACTCTATTCGTCCCAATTTATGTTTTCTATTTACTATTCAAATCGTCGAACTTTGATCATGTTTTTTTACTTGTTTTCGTAACACATTTGAAAAAATAATATAGTTGTCACCTCTTATTTTGTAGAATTTTTTAATATTTTTTTAAATATATAAATGTTATTTGTTAATTATTCCATACCAATTTTTAAATAAATTCAATTGATTTTTTTTTAGTCTAACATCTCAAAAAATAATACTCCGTATGTGATTTAAATTGAGAGAGAAGAAATAAAATAAATTAAAAATGCAAAGTGGGTAATGGGATAAGCAAAGCGTCCCCAGGCCAATTAATGTGTGCATTAAATAACTACCATGGCATTAATAACTCCTGCATTTCTAATAAATCTACTGCCGTTGATTAATTAGCAATGGCACATCAATGGTGGCTATTGCATGACCCCTTAGGCGGGAAAAACTCTTGACAAATTTTTTTTCCTAATTTTTTTAGGCCAGGTTTATTTTGCTTTTGTATATAGTATAGATATACATATACTCTCCCTCTCACTATCACATTACGTAGTGAAATTTTTTCATTTTTTAAAATTTCATTTTATTTAAAAATTGGGATAAAATTAAAAAATAAAACTTACTCCCTCCATCCCAATTTAAAGTACTGCTCTTTTTGGATTACATTGTTGAGAATTAAGGTACAATTAAAAAAAATAAAATTTACATATTTAGAAACTACGGAGTATATTAAAAGTTTTACAAAACAAAATATCTTATTTTATCACATCACTAACGAAAGTAGTTAATGAAATTGAATAAAGTATGACTCTTTGAATAATAAACAAGCAGTTTAATTTGGGATGGAAGAAGAACATATTTAAAGACCGTGTTGTCAAAATTTCTACTAAATAAGAGGTGACAAGAAATGATAATCTTACACAATGAATTTAGTTTAAGATTGTGACAATAACTCAATTGGCACCCCTATAGTGCTCCGATCACAAAATTAACAATTCCTCTTCTCCCTAAACCCCCCAGTAAATCCCCTAAATCCCCTAACCTGGCTCGTCCTTAACGCACCCTCGCACCCCCTTTAATTGCACCACACGAAATTTGATAATTAATTATTTAACCCTAAGAGTCAATAAATTGTGTGCTACAATTGGAAGAGGTCTGGGGTGCATTAGGGTCGAGCTAGATCGGGTTGGGAGGTTTACCGAGGGATAATGAATCGTCAATGTTAGAATCAGAATGCTTTGGGGACACAAATTAAATTGTTGTCGCAACCTTACACTAAATTAATGGTGTAAAATTATGCCTTCTTCTATCGAATTATTATTTTGGGATGAACACAAAAACCATTATCTATACTAATTAGATTTAATACATCCAAAAGTGTATCATAACTAAAAATGAACTGGACATAATGTATTGAAATATTTCAGAAAAGTTCTTTGTACACAACATTGGTGGCCTCAAAATCTGGCTTATCATTTATCAACATCATTACATATCTAAATCTTCAACCCCGAGCAATTTCTAACCCTAGATATGGCGACGTACAATTGTCCATGATTAAACACTGGTTTTTTTATTAAAACGCCTACCTTGGAGAGTGATTGTCCCTGACTCTTGTTTATGGTCATTGCATACAAAACCATGATTGGGAATCATTTTCTTTGAAGCTTGAAAGGCAACCTTGTATCAACCGGTGTCAATGTAATCCTAGGAAGTAATATGTTTTAAGCATTGCTTTGTTAGTAATAACATCTTCGTCTTTTCTTTTCCATGTTTACAATCTTCAAAATAAGAACAAAAATTGCAACCATATACTTCTACACATTAACACTTACTAATACCTTGGTTGTAATGATGATAAACTGAGTTGTCTCGATTGTTACAATTTGGGCAAGATTCCGAGCAACATTCCAATTTGACATATATTTTAAATCACTCAAATGAAATAGAAAAGATCATTTGAATAGTCCCCCAAAAGGCCAAAGAGGTAAACAATCTAAAATCCCAAAGTGCCAAAGATGATAAATTGAGTGTCTGCACTTAGTTTATGAAGAAAATAGATGAGAAAGAATAAAAGAGCATTACCCTGTATTTGTCCACTGCCTACACCGTCGTCCAGAGTTCTCTTCCGGAATTTAACCGTCGTTCATGGGCGAGACTGAAGTGAGCAGCTAGAGTAGTCTGCTGCCCTGAGCTCTTTGGTCGAACCTCTCTTTGCATCACCTACTCTGATAATATTTCTTGAAGCCTGCACCAAAGGGGGAAGCTAAAGTGAGGTAAAGATAACACCTAAATGAAAGCCCCTAAATACACATGATGACCATAAGAAAATAGAGCAGAGAAAGAAGAATGGAACTTTGGAATTTTTAGAAAATCGTGCTTCCAATGTCTAGTAAATTGATAGTGTTTAGTACATGATCTTCAAAATCAAAATCAAGTGTAACTAATAACTATGTATAATTCCACACCACAAAGGTTAAATTTTCTATTTATTGTATCATTTTTTTTATGTTTAAGTGCAAATAGATGAAAGCGTTATGGGCAGAAATGAAGGTCAAAAACTTTGAACTAATGTAATGTTTCAGCTCTTAATGAAACTGGAAGAGAGGAAATATAAATGTGACTTATTAAACAGAATTATAGCAACCCATCAATTTCTCGACATCAGAGACATTTAATTTTCAACACCTTGATACATGTATTTTTGCACGGGATTATTAAAAGAATGTGACTTATTATTAAACTCAAAAAAGGCCTTGTCCGCAAAGACTGAGTAACAATCAATGCAGTGAAGGTTTTTCTCTAAAGTTATATCTCCATGATTCAATCTACTTTCAACAAAGCATCCAAGTAACCGGATTTTAAATATTAAATCACAAAAACTGTAAATACGATACACATGAAGCATAATTTAGCCTTTCAAGACTGAAATTTCTTTTCCGTACGCAACATTGACACAATTCAAAAGTCTTTCCCTGTAAAAAAAAGTGGAGATACATTAATCAAGATGCTGTATGGAGCTCTTTCATGTTTGCTAAATATGGCAAAAAAACCATTTTACACCTAAATCCTATGACTCTCCTGGATGAATAATGATTTGTTTCTTTAATACCTTTTATGGTGAGAGATGAAATATTCAAATTACTGGCCCTGGATTCCCACTGGAGGTGTTTTCACTCTGAAGAGTGGATATGAAGAATGTATAGAATCTCAGGGAGCTCTCTTATCTAACAAATTTATTTATAATACTACTCAAAAAAATAGCATCAAGGTTTTTCTTTGGAAACTCTTTCATGATGTAATTCCTTTTGTGGATAAATTGATAAAATTCTACAATAAATTGCCTTTAAGATGTCCCTTTATTTTTTAGAGAATATTTCCTTTGAAAATAAATTATTTCTCCAATGTAAAGAATTTAAGGCTATTAGGCTTAGATTTGCTATTCTTCATTTGAAGTGCATCTGTCAAGGGAAAGAAATTTACCCAGCACATGACAAGGTTTATTGAAGCTGACATCTCTCCGGATTACCCTAAAAAGCAAATCAAGATTCTGAAATGGTCTTACCTCCTGGTAAATTAAAGCGGAGGAGCTATTCTTCGCAACTCTGCTGGTCAATTAATTAGTGTTATGGTGGCCTTCCCTCTTCCACTGACTAATACTTTCCTTGCTAAAGCTCAAGCTATGCTCATAGCTATTCCTTACCTTCCCATGAAATTCCTATATTTGAAGAGTGAAATCAAAACTGACTGTGTGAGTCAATTTGGCGATGAAGATGGATTCATGAAATCAAACTTTTTAGAGAGCCTTTACTAATAAACTAAAAACTGATTACCTCAAATGTGGTTGCTATGCTCCATGTACTGTTGCCCAGAAGTCGTTCCTAGCTACTCGCCATTAATGGTCGTCCGGCGTCTACGGTCATCACTCACCGGTTTCAGGTCTCCGACGTGCCTCTAACCTTGTTCCAATTTGGGGCCCAAAAAATCTGGAAAATCTAAAACTATTCCCTAAAATATGAAAAGAAGTAAAATAAGTTCAAGATAAAAGTGAAACAAAAAAGAAGTAAAATAAACTCAAGATACTCAAATATGATCCATAATACTTTATAACAAAGTATGCTTTTTATATTATTCCCTTCGTCCATAATTTATTTTCTCACTTTCTTTATTCATCCGTCCATTAGATATATTTTAGATTTTTCACATGTCACTTAAAAAAACCATTTTATGCTGACAACGAATCACAAAGACCATCATAGTAATATCATAACACAACCTTTTTCTTTTGTTGGGTGTCCATTTTTCAGATCACACTTGTAATTAAGAGGAAAAGGTTTCAGTGCAATAAACAACTTAATTAAGAACCACAACAAGTATAACTTCGTAAACACAACCCGGTTCCTGATTGACTGGTTTTGCAAATTGGAATTAGACATTAGTGATCCTAAAAATTTGGAGAGGGAGGTTACTACTGAGTGCTAATGCAGTGCTACAGTTAGGTATAGTTGGATAAAATTTTCAATAACCACAATGTATATTACCTCTACTCAAGTCTTAAAATAAGAGAGAATTGAAACTTTGAGTTTCATTTACTTATTGTGTGTTCAATGAACTAATGGAGTGAAGAAAACTGGGCTCGGGTGCTCTGCCAACTGCAACCTAAAGTAGGCATTAGCTTTGTAAAAGAAATCAAAACTAAAACTCAAACCTGAATATTAGGTAAAGGTCAAGGAAGATGATGGAAAAATGGATGTGTCCATTAGATTTTTCAGTAAAAGATATTAGACTATGTTTACATAACTGGCCTTCAACTGCCTTCTTCCTTGCAAGATCCAATCGTTGCAGACTACTTGCATATGTGGCTACATTTGAATCCCAAGGCTCGAACATGGTTTCTGCCGAGCAGTGAGCAGAGAGTGTGTGAAGGAGGAGCAGCAAAGACGAAAATCATCCAGTGTAGCACAAGAGTATTAAAGTTGGCAGAGGCGAATACTCCATTTTGCAAAATGAAAGCAGAAACCCTAGATAAAAGCACTATCGAGTATTTGCTTCTCTAATACGCAGTCTCAATTTACAGATGGAGTGCTGTTCTTATTTTGCTGTAGCTTTAGGAGGGAAAAGGCAATGTTTATTTTTCCCACTTTAGCTTTGCATATTAAAAGATATACAAGGAGATGTTAAAATAAATTTGATTGTGGAGGAAGTACAAAGCATTGTTTTGGAAACTGATTCTAGAGGTTTACCTGAAATGGCATTTTGGGGTTGACACTTCTTGAGCAGCATGCTCCATACATTTTATTTCCTGCTTTCATGAACCCAATCAGTGAAAGAATGAATAAAGCTCATCAATTATAGAAAAGAAACTCTCTTCAAAAATAGTGTTAACACATTTACAAAGGTAGATTCATATTACAATTTTTATAAACTCAATGTCTAAATGTACACATTATTTATATTTTCACACCACCAAATAGCTAGAAAAGAACAAAGGGTCTTAAAATATGCAATTTCACAACCAACACAACAAATAAAAAAAGGATCGAAAGGAAACATTCAAAAACAGATAGCCTCCAAGCAATAAGCATGTGCAAAAATGGCTTCTTTAAGTAACATGTTGCTTCATTTAAAGTTCAAGTGAGATTGTTAGTTTCTTTTTATTTGAAAGAACATAGTTTTTTTAGTTTTTGAAAAATACAAAAGTGAAATTTTAAATAAAAATTAAAATATAATAAAATTTTAAAAAAATTGATAAAAGAAGAAATTACACCTTGTAGAACATTACTCTGTGTTTTGGTTTACTGTTGGAAGCTAGCCACCATGGTTGCTTTGTCCATACCCATTCGAGCCACCGCTTGAGTCATGTGTGTGTGTGTGTGTCTATACACACTTCACCAACAGGTCAAGGAGAGGCTTGATTTCTATGATCGGGGAGTTACCCCACACAAAAACTCGGATATGATGAAGGCTGTTATTGAAGCTATTGGAAAAGAAGATGCAGCAAAGGAGGTAGACAAAACTCCATCTGAAGCTTCAGGAAAGAAAGGCAAAAAGAAGAAGTCCAAAGGTGATGCAGCAGTTGAGGATGGGTGACCCTGCGGAGGTAGAAGAACTTGCAGGTACAAACAGGGCCGAATCTGAAGAGCCAAAGACGAAGAAAAACAAGGAAAAGCGGAAAGTCGAAGAGGTGGATGAACATGCCAATGGTGTGAATGGGGTTGAGGCTGCGGATGGGTCAAAAAGAAGCATAAGAAGAAGAGCAAGGATGAGGATGAAGATGCCCAGACTACCGGAGGCAAGAAGAAGAAGAGGAAGTCCAAGGTTGATGATGATGAATGAATGAATGTGCATTGTTGACTTACTTCGAGCACCCCGGAGGCTATTTCTGGCGTTTTCAAAACCTTTTGATTTACTACTGAGTTTGGCTTTGTTGTGTTTTAAGCCATGTTTTGGGGTTAAGTTATGGTGTTAGTTTATCGTTAGACCTGGTTTAGACTAATATTGTGTGGTAGCAATTCTAGACAAAATACACACACACACACACACACACACTGATTTCATGATTGAATACATCTAAATATAGACCTGGTCATCTAGAGCAATAAGATGTGTTGATGAAGAATCTTAGAAAATGGATTAATTACCTACCACCAAACCTTATACATCCATTGTGCACACCACACATCTTTGATTGCAAGAAGTTCTTCTCTTCTCATAAATCTGGTTTATTGAAACCCCTTAATCTTTTGTGACCTTAGTATTTCCCTCAACCTTATCATCTTCATCACTTGTTGATTTAAGGAGTTGTGCTCTTTTATAACCGGCAATGTATTCTCCTCCCTTAAATCCTTTGATGTTTATTTCCCTTTCCTCCCCCTACCCATTACAAACTCCAAAAGAATCTTTAGTGTCTTGAATTTCTAAGAATAGAGAATAAGCTCAAAGGCCTTAAATTTTCCACCATAAAAATATATGAATCAAAAGTCCTCTATAGACGGGAAGTAACTTAAACCCATAAGTTAGAAGCCTCGATATAAAGATTTGTGTAATTCATTTCGAGATTATTTTTTTGAATATTGCTAAAAAAGAATCTATTTTAACTCTATGATTTTGTTTTAAAAGTGTCTTGAAAACGCCATACTTTTTGTGAGATTTTGCTGCGTTTGTTTGTTGTAAGCTTATTTTAAAAATGAGACCTACTTGATCAAACAAAAATGTAAAAAATAGATGAAAAAATGGTTTTAGTGCATATATAAAAGGAAACCTTGATCATGACATCCGGTTTAAATATTCAATTTCCCTACATGCTAAAAATCTCACAAAAGAAATGTTATTTCAACATCGTTTTGTAATAAAAAAAACCTTAAAAACAATCTAAAATGCACGCAATGAACCAGAAGAAAAAAATTTCAAGAAACTTTTAAATCCTACAAAAAAATAACACACTCTTCACAAGGCTTAGATATTAATTTTAATTTAGGCCAAACCTCATATTAAAATCTTTAATTGTTTTGTAAAAAAAATCTTCAATTTTTATCCTGAGCAACTTTGAAGAAAAAATTATAGATCCAATTATACTTGAAGTGCAAATATAATATTTTCCAACAAAAGAACTGAAATAAACATGATTACTAAAAAAATTATCTTCCGAGGAATGAACATTTCTTTTATGTTGAAAGAAATGTGCAGGAATTGAACATGGGAGTCATAGTATTTCCTTTAGTGTTATATTAATCATTTCTGTAAACTCTAATTCATGCCTAAATGTTTTTGGCATCTGAGTCATAGTACTAAAATGTTTACCTTTCTAAACTCAAATTTCTCAATGTTATTTTTTTAATATTGTAAAAATATTTCTAGTGCATCCATAAACTTGTTAGAGACAATTCATCAAACACTTGACATGCATATCTTGTCAACAAATTTTCATAAAAGCCATAGGAAAAAAAAGGTCTTAGTGCATACATAAAAACTTGAAACTTTGAATATGCACTTACGAAAGGCTTGACACTTTGAATTACCTATTTCTCGTATGCTAATCATGGTCGGTATCCTCAATCTTAAGAGCCGGTCGTCTCTGCCATCGCCATGTTTTTCATCGTGTTGTTCAATTCTTCTTCGTCCATCGTGGTTTTGGATGCCTATAGGTTTGTTTGTCGGCTCTTGAGTCAGCGACGCGCCTCCTTGTTTAAATATCTCCATCAGTTGTTGCGAGGGAAGAAGGCAGAACACCGATTGAAGTCGGCGGTTGAGATGAGCATCGATTTTAAGAGAGGAATTTCATCATAGTTACCCCTCTCTCTGTTTTCTCCCGATCCTGGGATTCTTGGCAGTTGAAGGGAGAAAACCTTAAAACAAGAGTAATTATTATATTGTGTATTCATACTTCTCTCTCCTCAATTAAGTTTCCGCCATCTTCTCGTACTCTTTCCTAAACTCGTCGCTGAGTTTAAAGCTCTAAACCCAAAACTGAAATGATCATTCATCTATCAATTATTAGTGTTCCTTGTGGAAGTTAAAATCAAAACCAATAAGCTTTATGGATAAATTTTATCGGTTAGTCTCAAAAAATTGCAAAGAAAATAAACATTAAAACTCATCCATGAAGGTTACTGGTTTCGAATATGAGTTCCACACTTAGATAAACAATTGAAGGAAGAGTGATGATTTCGATTTTGGGTTCAAAGCTTCAAATTCAGCGACGAGTTTGGAAAAGACGTGCGAGGAGAGGGAAGAAGCTTAATTGAGGAGAGAAATGAGTGTGAATTTACAATTTTATACACGTTCTTAACGGGAATGTTAACAAAGGACCATTCGTGGAAATGAATATAATAACTGGAGACTAAATTAGTAATATTTGATATGTAGGGACTAAATACGTAAACGATCTATTATTGGGAACCTTTTATGAAATTTACTCAACAAAATACCTAATAAATATCCATCAATTTCTTCTTTATTATAAATCTGCCACTCATTCGTTTTCGACCATCCGATCAACACTTAAATTGATATTGTTCAGTCACATTATGGGTGAACTCAATTTTGATTGTGTTTTTATATATATAATAGATAAGAATGTGTGGAGCCAGAGTAGTTCCGTCAAAGTCATATAAAGTAAACGTACTAATAAGTCGTTTTTGGGTTAGTTTTTTTATTCTTTTTTAGGCATTTTTAATACTTTTATAGTTTAATTTTTAGTTGTTTAGCTTAGTTTTATTTTAACTTTCATTTTTACAATCTTTTAATTTACTTTCATAAATAGTAGTTTTTTAAATCACTTTTTACATATTATTTTTATTTTATTTTTCCTAACCCAAATTATCAGATACTCCGTATCTTATTTGTGGAGAAAAATGTAGCAAAAGGCCAAATTGCAATTCAAATTAAAAAAGAAGAGATTGATTTTGGGCCGGAGCCCAAACCCAACAATAACAAGCAAGCCCAAACTCTCCTCCTCCCTCTTTAGTTTCACGCAAGAATGAAAAAATAAGTCAGTGGCTCCTTCTTCTTCGACTTCTTCTTCTACGGTCATCAAAGACCCGCTCCAACGTTCGGCTCCATCAATTTCGCTCAATTAAAGCTTCAACGGGAAGAAATTCAACGGCAAGTGGTTCTCCTTGTTATAAATTGAAGATGAATTGCAGCAATTGGAAGGGGGAGCATCGCACCAAACAAGAAAGTGAGCAGCGGCTTTGGCCGCTGAAATTGACGCCACCGGAGAAGGAAGCAGACGGCGGCCGACCATGGCTCGCCGGCGTTCGACGATGGTCGGCGGTGATAGGCCAGCCGTGGCATCAACAAGCTCCAATTCTTCAATTTCATCATCTTCTTCAACAAATTGGTAACCCTTATTTGTCAATTTCTTTTTCTTCTCCAATTTCTCTGTAAAAGTGTTGTTTCAATCTAAATTTACACTTTTTTTTCTCTCCTTGTTTGTGTTAATTTCGAAAAAAATCCTTTATATATAAAGTATATAAAGAGGAGACTCTATTCTCATATATAAAGAGGAGACTCCATTCTCTAAGAACTTAACATTTGGCATATTCAAAGCTTGACATGTGGCACATTAAGAACTTTGCATGTGGCATATTAGGTGACAATTTAACCAAATTTACTCTCTTTCATTATTTCACATTGTTTACTATTTTTTCAAAAATGATATGGAGTAATTACTTACTCCCTCGTCCTCCAGCTTTTGTCCACTTTTGACTTTTGAAACTGTTCATCTAAGCATTTTGACTCATCAAATTCTCTCAATGTGTAAGCCTAAATATAGTCATGTGTGATCTTGTTTGATTTGTCTTAACATATAATTTCTATAATTTTTTAATATACAAATTACAAGATAAAATGGATTAAAGAAGTGCATTGGATGGTGTGTAAAAATGAAAGTGGACAAATACACTGGGACGGAGGGAGTATTTTGAAGCCATGAATTCAAAATTAGAATTAAAATTATTTTCTGTGTAAATTATTACTTTTAATAAAATATCATTTTTAAGGACTCTACGTACAGATATTTTAAATACCTGTCTCGAATTCGTTAAATCATAAAATTTACAAAATATTTTTAGAATAATAAATAAAATACACTCCTCACCCATAAATAAATTTTATATTTATTCATTATACATTTACATGATATTCCTTTGATTGTATTTATTTAAATTTAAAAAAGAGTTGGATGTTGAAAGAAAATGGAAAAAACTAGAAAGAACTGAAAGAAACTGGAAGAAATTTAATTGTTAAAGAGAAACATTCATTTTTATGAAAATACTCTTTCGAATACAATACAATATTTTTTACTCGCTTCATTTATTAAAAAAAATTGATTAATAAATAATATGATTTTTTCACATTGAAATAATTTTCTTACAAGTATTAGTTTATAATATTTAAAATGAAATTAGTTTTGATTTTATTTATTTTAATAATAATGTAAAATTAAAAACAAATAATACATTTCAATAACTAGATTAAAAAAAATTAAAAATCAGTACATGACTGGACTAAGATTGAAATTTTTTTTAAATAATAAACAAAACATTCTCTTCATAAATAAATAATATACGAAGTATTATGAATTTGTTTATTACACCTTTAAATGAAGTTAGTTTGATTATATTTATTTAAATATTGACACCTACTAAATAAATACTTTCTTCGCCTAATATGAAATTTCTTATTTTTTAACACATAAAATGCCACCTAAATTGAAACATAGAAAATGTAAAATCAATATTTTGGTAAAATGTGATCCTAAGGTCCACATGTAAAATGTGAACTTTCTTACACTTTTCATGGTTTAGCAAGTAAATATTTTTTAAAAAAAAGATCTAATTCTTTTATGATATTATTACACCAAGGTCTATAAAAATGAGCATGGACCGTAGGGATGCAGAAAAATTTGCCTTATAAAACTTTCAATCCCCCCCACCCACCAAAAAAAACTTTCAATTAATAAATAAGATACATTTTTTACCTCTAAATCAATGTCGTGCGGGTATTTGTTTATGATATGTTATAACTAAGTTAGTTTTGATTCTATTTATTGCAATATTGATGTAAAATTAAAACATATAAAATATTTTAAAAATAAAACTAAATTATTTATAAAACAAGCGATGACTAGACTATAATTGTGTTAAAATAAAAAAAATATTGTATGTAATTTCATAGTTTGAATATATTGATTGTTATGGTTTGATTTTAGTACTAGACAATTTAAATTTAAAAATATATTATTCCTCATGATATATTAAGATATAATATTCTTAATTAAGTCATATAATACAAATTTTCAACATTACTGAGTAAATATAATTAAGGAATAGATAAAATCGATTTTATTAGAAAATACAAGTGTTTTTCCAATTTTTTATTTTTTTAATTTCATTTGTAATTAAACTATCAATGAATAAATTAGATTTCCTTCTCTAAAAAAAGATACTTTCTTAATCTCTAATACTTTCTTAGTCATATTTTAATTATTTTTTTGTAGAACTTATTTCTCTAGAAGATGTAAAGAATTTGTAATTCATTAAAATTGAAAGATACCTAATTCAAATGGACGACCTTTGAAGGAGTTTAGTGGTGTGTCATTCCGAGATGACAATCCACTTAACAAATTTTGAAATAACTTCTTGGTAGAGAAGTTGAACTATGACAAAGAAAAGTTATTATCTGATTTTAGCTGATATTAATCTATAATGAATGAAGACCCGTGGAAGATAGGGAAAAAGGCTAAAATTGGAATAAAAAATTGAAAATATAACAAAATTGGAGTTCTATTTTTAATGTCTGAAATAGAAGTTAAAATGCATTTACGGTGCCGAAAATTGTAAATTGTAGGAGCTACAGTCAAATCTTTAATATTATGGTCAATTTGTAAAGTTTTTATGTTGACCGAAAATATGCAACTACATTCATCTACTTTCTCTTGCGCATATGGGGACACATGTGCTTTTTTTATTGGAAAATTATATTCGAAGATGGAAAGCTATGTGAGGTGATTAATGGAGTTATTGATATTGAGATCCCCACAAATTTTTTATTTTTGAAAAAATTTATCCTATCAAGAGTATAATACGTTGACTTCACTTATCCAAACATATGAGAGAATATGTAACGCCCCAAAATTAGGCCTATCAGAATTAATTAATTGATAATTAATTAATTACTGAGAAGGACCCAAAAATAAGTGATTTATAAAGTTTGTCAATAAATAATGAAAATTATATCATTATGTAGAGTTTGACTGTCTGACCCCAACGGGTCAATCGGATTTCAATTTGGAGAAAGTTGGACCAAAAAGTGTACCCCAACTGGGACCAAAATTAGTCCCAATCAGGGACTACACACCAAACAGCGCCCTGTTCAATTACGCTGATTCCAAATTCGTCGCTCAATCACGGAAGCTGCAAACCTGTGTCTTCTTCTTCTTCCCTGGGCTATTTAAGGACAACCCAACTCCCTCATTTCATCACCAAAACACTCATTCTTCCATCTATATTGTTCCTTGCTGAGAGTAGAGTGCAGTGGTGCTGTCATCTTTGTGTGAGGTCGCCGGAGCAGTGAGATAGAGTTGCTGGAAGTTTCGCCGAAAAATCTTCAAAACCTCCCTTACGCTTCAAGGTAAGCCCGTAGATATATCTAAAGACTAGAATGTTCATATAGGTCGTTTCTACGTTCATAAATCGTCATTTGGTTGTGTTTGACATGTTCAAAGAACTAAGAATCATAAACCTTGAATTTAATGTTAAAAATATGATTTAATGATTCTAAAATGATCTACGAACCTTGGATAACATTTC